GGGTGAGGGGGGGCTCCCTTGGGGCCCCCGGTTGGCCATGGTGGCTTCCATGGCCATGAGAACCCCTTGGTGGCCATGGTGGGCTTCCGTGGCCATGAGAAGCCCTTGGTGGCCATTGGTGGGCTTCCATGACCACCAGAAGTCCTTGGTGGCCATTGGTAGCCAAAGGTGGCCATGGTGGACCTCCATGACCATAAGAAGTTCTTGGTGGCCATGGTGGGCTTCTGTGGCCATGAGAAGCCCTTGGTGGCCAAGGTTGGCTTCCGGGGCCCTGAGAAAGCCACCATCAGAAGTCCTTGGTGGCCATGAATGACCTCCATGACCATAAGAAGCTCTTGCTGGCCATGGTGGGCTTCTGTGGCCATGAGAAGCCCTTGGTGGCCACGGTGGGCTTCCGTGACCATAAAAAAGTCCTTGGTGGCCATGGTGGGCTTCCGTGACCATCAGAAGTCCTTGGTGCCCACAGTGGGCTTCCATGACCATCAGAAGTCCTTGGTGGGCATGGTGGGCTTCTGTAGCCATGAGAAGCCCTTGGTGGCCATGGTGGGCCTCCACGACCATCAGAAGTCCTTGGTGGCCATGGTGGGCCTTCATGACCATCAGAAGCCCTTGGTGGCCATTGGTGGCCAAAGGTGGCCATGGTGGGCTTCCATGACCATAAAAAAGTCCTTGGTGGCCATGGATGACCAAAGGTGGCCATGGTGGGCGTCCGTGGCCATGGTGGGCTTCTGTGGCCATTAGAAGTCCTTGGTGGCCATAGTGAGCTTCTGTGGCCATGAGAAGTCCTTGGTGGCCATGGTTGACCAAAGGTGGCCATGGTCGGCCTCCATGACTATAAGAAGTCCTTGGTGGCCACAGGTGACCATGGTGGACCTCCATGGCCACAAGAAATCCCTGGTGGCCACAGGTGGCCATGGTGGACCTCCATGGCCACAAGAAGTTCTTGGTGGCCATTGCCAACCCGAGAAGACCATGGTGGACCTCCATGGCCACAACCAGCCTCATAGGCCCCCACGGGTGTCCTTGGACTTCTAGGTGGCCACGGGCCACCACAGGAGGTCCTGGTGGCCCATGCCACCCCTTCATCCCCCCCATCCTTGTCTCCACCACAGGCCTGGACGCCACCTTCATCCTCCTCATGTTCCTCCTCATCTCCACCCTGGTGGCCGGAGGAGCCGCCCTGGCTTGTTTCATCAGGTGGGTGCCACCACCTCCTGGTGGGTGACCTTTGGGGACATCTTGGTGGCATCTCAGCAGCTTCTGTGTCCCCTCCAGACGCCGTATTCAACAGGCCCAGCTGATGAAGGGACCCAACAAGATCATCCTCACCATGGAGGACCTGACCTTCATCAACACCCAGAGCAGCAAGAGGGTGAGGATGGGTGGGGGACAACCGGTGGTGGGGGACACCCCGTGGTGGGGACATCTGGGGTGGCATCTTGGTGGCACCAGAAGTGGATGGAAAAGGGACGTTGGGGCTTGAAGTGGTTGGGTTTGGAGTTGGGAGAAGATCCATGGGGGTGGTGGGTCCCATGGTGGACCTCCATGGGTGACGTGTCCCCATGGGTGACGTGTTCCCATGGCCTGAGGAGAAGATCCATGGGCTGGTGGACCTCCACAGGTGACGTGTCCCATGGGTGACGTGTCCCAGTCGGTGACATGTCCCTTGGGTGACGTGTCCCACGGTTGATGGGACCCCATGGGTGACGTGTCCCAGTAGGTGACATGTCCCTTGGGTGACGTGTCCCATGGTTGATGGGACCCCATGGGTGACATGTCCCATGGGTGACATGCCCCCATGGCCTGAGGAGAAGATCCATGGGCTGGTGGACCTCCACGGGTGACGTGTCCCCATGGGTGATGTGTCCCCATGGCCTGAGGAGAAGATCGATGGGCTGGTGGACCTCCATAGGTGACGTGTCCCCATGGGTGCCACACCCCAGTGGGTGCCATCCCCCGC